AACTGTAACATTAACAAAAACTTGGCAAAATATTGATTACAATGGTTGACTAGATCAGTAACAAAACAAAAAAAATGCCTTTTTATGCTATTGTGTATAACAACATTATGTGTGTTTAAGACTGCCTTCAAAAATTGATGCCTTTGTTCATCTCCTAGAGAGATATGCTGACAGAATACTGAGCCTTGACTTAAAAAATTATAGTGTGTCTTGAGCACTGGTCTAATATATAGAGCCATAGTGTTAGTTATATAGCTAGATAGATTTGTGTAAGAGACTAAAATATTGATCCATTTTAGCCACGATTTTCCTGACAAACTCCACTTACAGAGACACATGCAAGTTAACTTGACCTATTCTCCAGAACTGTCATTTCCTAAAACGGGTCTATCAACTGATTGAAATATATTGGAAAAACTAAGTGACAACTTTTCAGTTACAGGTCTTCACATCATACCAGTCATTTGATCTGCCGTATACAAGCCTTTGAACACTAAAACTTCATATACCCTAAATTTAAAGAAAAAACTCAAAGCAGTGGACGTTAACGTTTTGAAACGTCTTCACCAACCGCTTGAGTTTGTTTCACATAATTATGTGGTTGGTAAAGGCGCTGCTAGTGTTAAAGGGTTCAAATAAACAGACAAATCTGACTTACAAAATAAAATGGCAAAGAATTGTTGTAGCTCTCGAATGATATGATGTCTAAATCAAGTGATTTTTCATTTGATGGGCAACAATTTGAATTTTACTAGAGCCTAAATCAATATATTTGCACAATTGATTTGAAAAAATAATTTAATTAAATGCTAGGTCATTAGAATAGAATGATTCAATCTCCATGAATGTATTTGTAATTTATCACGATTAATTCTAATTTTTCAAGTGATATCATTTTTTTAAGTATATATTACTGTTTTGTATTAATGTATTAGATCCATTCCGCAAAAAAGCAGACTTTTCAGCACCTACAAAATATATTTTACATCCATTTTAAAGTATTCCTGAAAAAAATAAAATGAAGACTTGTGAGAAAATTACAAACTTCAAAAAGTATCTCAATCCTTTCAGCAAAATACTTAATCTAAGTCTTCAAAGACAAGGATACTAACTACAGTGTACTCTGTGATATCTGACATCTGAGTATTCCAACATTCTGCGTAATCCGATATTATTTTCTGGTTCCGATTGATTGCCTTCTTAGGCTAGGTAAAAAAAACTCTGACAATATTAATTCCAATAAAAAGCGTCCCGTACAATTAAATAATACAGCTTTATGGAACAACAATCACTGGTTAAAGTTTTATGCAACGTTTCGACGTGTTGTTCCATAAAGCTGTGTCTCTAATCGTACTCACAATTGCTAAATGCCATTCAAAGACTTTAATTAAATAATAGTATGGTATACAACTGAATTGTCATTTATTAATGTAATATTGTTAAAGATAGCTTGCCAGGCAAG